CTTATACATGTACAGTGGGGTTTTGGGGAGGTTATATGATATGTGACATAGACTGAATGTAGAACAAGTAATGAGAATCTAGCTGTCTTCCATGCAGACAGACATAATAGAGATTCATAAAAATGTAAAGCAATCACTGTTCTCCTAATTTTTATTGCATAAACCCTTAACAAAATATTAGTAAACAGAATTGAGCAATATATAGAAAGAGGTATACACCGTAAACAAGTGAGATTTATTTCAGGAATGCAAAAGTTGTTCGAGATTTTAAAAAAAAATCAATCACGTAATCTATTTTAAGGTACAATACTAAATTGATCACATGTTAACATAAAGTGACACTTTTAATGAAAAATGACAATTTTCTTTAAAAATTAGGGCTATAGAGGTTAAAAATTGAAGTGAGCATGCAACAACGTCAAGAAGCCCAAGTATCCCCTCATAACCAGCACATACTCCTCCAAATCCGTAACGCAGTGAAATGTCAATAAGCTCAGAGAAAGATATCTGATACAGTTTATTCAGAACAAAGTACTAATTTTAATAAATAACAAGTAGAAGGAAGCGTTAAACTTTAAACACTCTAATATTAATTTTCACTGTTGCCAGTATTAGAAAACCTAGTAATTGGCATTCACAGGCTGAGCACTGCCAGATTTAGCTCTTTACATCCCAAACTATTTCTCAGTTAAGCATCTTCAAATATTCCCATTACCTTAAAGAATAGCTAGTTCAGAAGGGTCTTTTACTGCATGTCACCTAATCAGAGATGATTTACTTTACCATCCTAAGTACAGTTTTCTTCCTCCAACAGACAACACAAAATTTACATTTACAATGTTTTGTTCTTTGTTTGCCCTCTCCATAAGACAATAAATTCTTTAAGGACAGACACTAACTTTGTTTTAGTTATCACTGGAATAGTCAAGGTCTGATATATAGAAGCCAACCAATAAATACATGGCAAATACTCGAAAAGGGTGGAACAGTGGTTAAACAGTTGGCTGCTAACCAAAAGGTTGGTGGTTCAAATCCACCCAGTGGTTCCACAAGAAGAAAGCCCTGGTTATTTGCTCCCATAAAAATTACAGCCTACAAAATCCTGTGTAGCAGTTCAACTGTCATGTGCAGTCACTATGAGTTGGAATCAACTGACGGCACCTACCAACAACAAAGGGTTGACGCACTTCATAGTTCTGTTGAGACATAAATATGAGTAACATAAAAGAGGCTGGTGTGAAGGATTCAATCACTAGACTAGTAAGGGCAACGACTCTAAGCCCACTGCCATCAAGTTGATTCCAACTTATAATGACCCTATAAGGCAGAGTAGAACTGCTCCATAGGGTTTTCCAAGGCTGTAAATCTTTTATGGAAGCACACTGCCACATCTTTCTTCCTCAGACCAGTTGGTGGGTTTGAACCACCAAACTTCTGGCTGGCAGCCAAGTGCTTTAACCAATGTACCACAAGGACTGCCGCAAGGGCTCTAGGCAACTGCTAATAACTCCTTCTTAACAAACTGGTTATTTTCTGTAGCTCTTGCAAAGAGATTTTTGTTGTTGTTACTGTGTGTGTGTGTAGAAAAAAGCCTAAATATCAGTGTTGGTTTTAGAAATTCAGGTATATTCATTGTGGTGCAGTGAATTACTTGGTATGGCTCTTCTAGCCATGGTCTTTGTGGCACATGCTGCTGCCAAGTACCTTTTTCCATCCATGGTCAGTATTTCTGTAACAATGTATCTAATATAGCATTTAGCCTCTGTTACAGACTGAACTGTCTCTCCCAAAAATCATGTGGGATATACACATGAACATAATCCCGTCTGGGAATAGGCTTTTCTTAGTTATGTTAATGAGGCTGTATCAGTATAGGCTGTGTCTTAAACCAGTCACTTTTGAGATACAAAATGAGCAGCTAAAAGGCATAGAATCAAGCAATCACAAAATGAGGAGATAGATGCCACAGGAGACCTGGTGGCATAGTGGTTAAAGCTAACCAAAAGGTCAGTAGTTTGCTGTGGGAGAAAGATGAGGCATTCTGCTTCTATAAAGATTTTACATGCTTGGAAACTCTATGGGACAATTCTACTCTGTTCTTTAGGGTTGCTATGAGTCAGAATTAACTCAATGGCAATGAGTTTAGATTCCACATGAAAAGTGCCAACAAATCCAGAACCAGCTGAAAGAGACAAGGACCTTCCCCTATAGCAACATCCTGAATATGGACTCCTAGCCTCCTACAGCTCTGGTAGCATAGTGCCCAAGGCATCTGACTGCTAACCAGAAGGCTGGCGGTTCAAACACACCAGCCAGCTGCTCCTCGGAAGGAAGGTTGGGCAATCTACTTTCCTAGTGATACCACCTTGGAAACCCAAGGAAGGGTTGCTATGAGTTGGATCTGACTCCACAGCAGTGAGAGTTTGATCCTCCTAAACTGTCAGAAAAAAACTTTCTGTTAGTTAAAGCTACCCAGTTTGACATTTCTTTTGTAGCAGCACTAAGGAACTCTGGTGGCATAGTGCCTGAGGCATCTGAATGCTAAACAGAAGGTTGGTAGTTAAACCTACCAGCCACTCCGCTGAAGAAAGAATAGGCAATCTACTTCCATAAAGATTTACCACCTCGGAAACCCAATGAGGGTCGCTCTAAGTCAGAATTAACTCAATGGCATGAGTTTAGATAACTGAGACAGCCCAGAACTGACAGTCTAAAAATAGTCACCTTTAAAGGATCCATAAAAAATTGAAAAGACAGCCCACTGGATGGGAGAAAATTTTGCAAATCATGGATCTGGTAAGGACTTTGTATCTAGAACACAGAAAGAACTCCTACTGTTAGCTGCCCTTGAGTCAGCTCACAGATCGTGACGATCTCTCGTACAACTAAGCCATTTCCATAATCAGACTGGACTTTTATGATCCACAGCGTTTTCAATGGCTAATCTGCTTTCAGAAGTAGATTGCCACTTACAACTCAATAATAAGAAAAATAACCCAATTAAAAAATGAGCAAAGGATCTAAACAGACATTTCTCCAAAGACATATTAATGGCTGATAAGCATATGAAAAAGTGTTCAACAGAGAAATACAAAACCACAATGAGATATCCCATTAGAATGTCTGTAATCAAAGACAGACAGTAACAAGAAGTAGTGAGAATGTACAGAACTGGAATCCTAATACACTGCTGGTGGAAATGTAAAATGGTACAGCCATTATGGAAAACAGTCTGGCAAGGTCAAACATAGAATTACCATTATCAGTTAAAAAAGCATTTACTAGTGAGTCAATTCTAACTCAAAGCCACGCCATGTGGGTCAGAACAGGGTTTTCCATGGCTGATTTTTCAGGAAATAAATCACCAGGCCTTTCTTCTGAGCCACCCTTCAACCTTTCAGTCAGCAGCCAAGCCCATTAACCATTTGCACCATGCAGGGATTCCATAGATTATCTGTATTTACAGTTAAAACTCTCATAGGAATAATTAACACCATATCACAAGACAACGTTTTTAAGAGTGAGAGGAAATCAGATTAGTAAGATGAAACATTACTTATTAGCCTTTCAAGTTTCCTCTTATGTTAAACACCTGTAAAACAGCACTGCCATTTTCTTTTGGGTTTTCCATCTCATTGATTTGCAGTAGTTCTTAAGATTGCCTGAGTATCAATCCCTTATTGATTCTAAATGCCCTTTCAAAAAAATTAAAAAAAAAAAAGTCTTAACAAATCTGCTGCTGATCTTGAACTCTCGTAAGGTATAGAGGCAAAGACAGTTCCTGACTTCTCTAAGTTCAGTTAGCTATTTTCCTAACTCAAACATCAATGTTTCTCTAATCTTTTCAGCCACTCAAAAAGACTAATTTCTCACCAATACACATATATTTATTTATAAACTGAAAAACAGGGCTCTAAATCAGTGTCTTCTGAAGGATTACTTTTCTTCTTAACCACAAGCAAATACGTATGAGCATTCTGTAGGAAAAAGACAGCTTGCTCCACTCTACACAGCCAACACATGTCAGCCGTCATGTTAATACATCATCATATAGCTTCCATGAGTCGATAAACAAGCATCTATTCTAACAATGGTTTGTTAAAATGGTTAGCATTTAATAAATAATTATCATATCCATCAAGATGTCTGAAACAACAATGAAGAGCTTCTACTTTACCCAGTGAATAAAGGTACAAATTAAAATTTTAATTTTCCAATCGCATTAACATACAATTAATTCTTTACAGATAAAACTGCTGGACAGACTGGATGGATATTTTGGTGATCGACAATTGCTCAAAGCTGAAAAAAGTTAACTTCTTTCACAGGCGTACTATCAAATGTTATGCAGAAGAAAGACGCTGTACTGGAGTCAGTCACATAATCATACAGCAGGACCTTAGATCACTTAATCCTTCATTTTCAGGTGAAGCAACGGCAATACAGGAATTAAGAAATTTGCTCCATCTTGGTCTTCTAAAATCTACGAATTCGGGGTTCTGGTCACTGAACAACACATTTTTAGACTCTCTAGTTCTAAAACTCTGATCCCCCTACTAATTTTACACGATTGGGTTTATGTATTATAGAACTGGAAGTAACTCTCAACCCTAATTTACTCCTTTTCACTTGCTTACCTTTTCCCTCCCCATCCATCTGTAGAATCCACGTAAAGATAAGTACCAGCCTGCCAGAATTTCTGGCCCTAATTGCATGCGGCGTCCCGAACCTCTGGCTACATACAGCTCCTGTATCAATCAAAGTTTAATTTTATCCTTCATTCCTTTGATTCAACTAACACCTACTAAACGCTGGCTTTGCAGGGAGCACGATGCATGCGGCTCCTACCCCGCGGGCAGCCGCGCGCGGGCACCGTGATGGCTCTCCCGGCGTCGGGGAGCCGGCGGGCGCTAGGGGTGCGGGGCTCCAGGTAAGCGGGGTGGGAGTCCCAGTGGCGCCTGGGAACGACCTGGGTGCGGAGAACGGGGCGGGCGGCTCACCTTTACGAAGCTCCCGTTCCCACACGGTGACGATGGGCCGCGAGTGCTTGCGATGGTGGATGAGCCACAGAGACAAGGTCTGCACGCTCTGCTGCGAGTTGCTCAACTCCGACAGCTTCTTCTCCAGCGCCGCCTCAGAGAAGGCGGACATCCCTCCGACACCACGTCCACGCCGTCCCACGCGCTGGGGCCGCGGGGAGGAGAGTTTCACCGCCCTCCTCGCTGCCTCGCCCCCTCACCCCACCCTACCCCACGCCCTCAATATCCCCGGCGACACATCCAAGTCCGGCCGCAAACCAGCAAGATGGCGTCTGGCCGGCAGTGACGTCAGAGGCCACTCTGGTCCCAGCTCTGTAGATACAAGCCCTCGGAAGGGGCGCGGCCTCGGCCCAGAGGCGGAAGGGGCGGGACGGAAACAAATGCAGGTGAGGCAAGAGGGGATGTGCGGGCTGGGGTAGGGCGGGCGGTAGGGAGAGGTTTGATGGACTTGAAACCTTCCTAGGAGCTCTGGTGGCATAGTGCCTAAGGCACTTGCCTGCTAACCAGAAGGCTATCGGTTGAAACCCACCAGCCGCTTCTCAGAAGGAAGGTTGGGTAATCTACTTCCGTAGTGATACCGCCTCGGAAACCCAAGGAGGGCTCTCTTATGAGTCGCGTCTGACTCCACGGCACATAACAACAACAGATCACTAGAAGGAAAGAGTGGCTAAAACTCTCGTTGTTGTTGTTTACCGTCGAGTCGCACCCGACTCATAGTGACCCCTACTTGGGTTGCCTAGGCAGTATGACTACGGAAGTAGATTGCCCCATCTTCCTTCCGAGGGGTGGCTGGTGGGTTTGAACGGTCAGCCTTCTGGTTAGCAGTCAAGTGCCTTAGGCACTATGCTACCGGAGCTCCCAAATATAGGCGTGTAAATTGGTACAGCCACCGTGTAAGACTATTTGGCATGATCAATTAAATGTCAAAATACACCTTCCCTGTGACTTGCAACTAATTGCTGTCGATGCTACAGGAAACACCATTATGTTTGCTAGGTGTTCCTGCGGTAACAGCCCAAAGTTGGGACATTGCAACAGATAAAGAGCTAAATTGTGATACATCCATGTTACAAAATCTATGCAGCAGTTTAAACAATGGATAAATTCAAGGTATGGTGAGTTGGCGCATTTTGACTGCTAACCAGGTTAGCTGCTCAGGAGAAGGAAGATGGGACAGTCTACGTCCCTAAATATTTACCTCCTCAGAAACCCAATGGGGGTCGCTATGAGTCGGAATGGACTCGATGCATTGAGGTGGTTTTATTTATTTATTTATTTATTGGAATGGTATGGTGATTTTTTTTCAAGTTTCAGAACAAAGCAACGTTTGTTTTTAAAGAGCTCATATCTTATGTAAATTCAGAACTGTACAGCAAAAGGTCTGGAAGAATGCACACCACTGTCAGAGGCATATCTACGGAAATAGTGCCTATGGCAAGTATTGAATTTGCGCAGTTGTCCAACTATGTGATACCCTTCTTTTAGATCCCTTTACCATAGTGTCAGCTGAAAAAGACAAGTCAAGCTCATTTACCTTTTATTTAACACGGTATGGCCCTACATGAAAAGTACAACTGCTTCTTCCTTGCTTTCACTGATGAAAATTGGTCAGTGATACGCACAAAGTCATTGTTTTCAGTTTTTTTTCTTTCTGCCATCAGCAGAGCAAGATCGCACAGTCTGCCTTGACCCATGGAAACTCTCAAATATGAAAGTATTAGTTTTAACTTGCTGACTGATCTCTCACAGCTAGTGATGGGAACTGCCGTGGTTAATAGAAACTGCTCAGCGGTGCCCCCATTCAGCTGGAGTGCAGAGCACATGCCATACCTACCATAACTTAGATACCCTCTGACCACAGTAGTAGTACTACCTGCAAATCAACAGAGTTCCTGCCCTGGAGGACACAGCCAATAGTCCACACCAGAGTTCAAGGAGACAAAGAATTTAACTACTAATAGGACTTGGGGTCTTAATGACTCCAAAGTGATGTGCTCTGTTGAGTGTTTCCAAAGAGGGGTTCTTATACTAAACGAGGAGTGGGATACAGCCCATGCACAAACTAATTAATATTTTTTCAAATCAGATAAAATAGATGATTACTAGAGAACATCTGTAGATTCCTGACAGGTCATGCCAGGCTCATCTTCTTCCTTCTTGAAGGTGGCATCACTGATTGTTGTCGTCAGGTCAAAGTCCAAGTGGCCACTCACACAGCTCATCAATGTCTGTTAACATAGTGATCACATGTTACATGTCACAGCCAGAACTGATAGTTATCTTTCAAAGGAATACAAGTTAATAAATAGCATAGGGGTGAGACTAAAGATGGAATCTCACTCTACCAGTATGGAGTCAGGCTTAACAAAGCAAAAATCTATCCTCACAATAGTAGTTTCCTCATGGAGAGGGTTAGAATTGGAGTGTTTAAGATGTGTCTACGTTATTTTCATTTTTCACAAGGAGAAAATAGTTATGTGATACTTATATTATTGAAAATTAATTTCAGAAATCTCAGGTATTCCAGCATATTTTGATATAGTACTTGTCTGAACTATGATAATTCATAAAACAAAAAGGTGGACACTATCATCTTTTAAATACAAGAAATTTCCAGAAATTGAACCCACACCTGTGGTTTCCAGCCAAACAAAGTACAGGCATGTGAGTTAAACATTTACCTCAAGTAGACACATGCCCTGGAGAGAACAATCGTGGGAGAAGGAAGGGCTGCTTATGCACAGGGAGACAGCTCAGGGGGCAGGAGAGTATGGAGGGATGGACACTGGGAA